AAAAATCGCATCTAAAATAGTACAGTAGAAGCCGTTTTTCCGGTTAAGCCTTAATGCTCTCCCTCTCCCCCCGAGGGGAATTTCGAAAAATCCCTTCTTAATGAGCGTTTTCATGACGTACCCTAACTGTGTACCAAATTTCACCTCTTTAGGTTCTGCGGTTTGCTCTGAACGATGATGAATCAGTGAGTGAATGAGTCAGTCGGGACAAGCAATTTTATATATAGCCTATAGATGTTTGTTAAATGTTATTAATATTAAACTGTATAAAATGTTTAATTTTTAAAAAACTTTCAGTCTCACAATTCTGACTTTAGATAAATGTAACTGTTTTATGTGGAAAGTGCGAGTTATCTAAAATTCAAATGTCTGAAAGTTCGAGGACTTCCTGTACAAGTACACATATAAAATTTTACTTTTATGTGTTGAAAATAAGCTTACCTTGTAACAATTAAATCAGCGAAAACGGAAAACGAAATAAAAGCGAAAACAAAACTGATATGAATCACGACTTAGTTCAGTAGCTTTTAAACTTTCCCACTCCTCACACCTTAACTTTTTTAAATGTATTCTTGGACCCTTCCGTGAAAACCATGTTAATTTTTTTGTATTTAAATTATTACAAATACGGCCGAATCCGCTTAAGAGAACGCTCGCGGAACCGCCTCGTTAATCTCCTTTAACCAAAGTAACAAGATCCCCAAGGGAGTTGTTAATGGTAATTGATTCTCACCGCTTTTTTATGTCTTAGGAGCTCTACCTAACTTATAACACGCTTGGAAACGTTAAAATTCATTAGCACATAATTTTACTGTACTTACATGTTATTTTCCATTCTTATATCATCAGTTTTATTGTTCTAACGAAGAATAATCGATAAATACCAATCACATTACTTTTACTTCTCAGAAATATAGTAGGGAATTTAGCTGAAAAGATGTGAACATCCTTGCTTCAAAATTTCTGAATGTTCTCTAATGGGACGTAATATAGTACAGGATATGAACAAATAATTACAGTACTCTCAAGTAAGGTCGTACTGTATGACCTCCGAAATCTGGTCTCTAATTATTTCTTTTCTCATCCCCTCTAGATGAGATAGTCTATATGTCAGGGGTGGCGAACCTATGGCACGCGTGCCCAAAGTGGCATATAAGGAGAAATCATCTGTTACGTAACGTATCATATGATTTCGAATTATCATTTGTCTTTTTAATCACCCTTTCGGTTTATCACTCGATTGTCCTTTTCCAATCAGCTTTTTTACATTTATTGTAATTAGAGCATATTCATTTAATTTATTTAAATATAGTTATTCGAAGTCTAAAACTTTGGCACACCTAAACATCTTTAAAGTTAAGTATGCTCACTATATGGCACGCGGTCTCAAAAAAGTTCGTTCACTATATGTCATCTGCGCTGTTTGTTCATATATAGTCTATTTTACGACACCTTATTAACATGTAGAATAATTGCTTCTCATATTTGTCTCCAATAAAACCTGTTCATTATGATTTTGTACGAAATCTTTGGATTGTCCATGTGTTAGAAAATATGTTCTGCGGAGATTTGGTGAAATCTCCACAGAACATATACCATACTGTAAAAAGTCCTGTTGCCATTTACCCTGGACGGTGGTGTATATAAGATTAAAGATAGACCCTTAAATATCTTACTTAGAACGGTGCTCCTTATGCTGACTGCTGCTCTAAAAATTTCGCAGATACGATAATGTAAAAACATGGGGTGGGAATTGGGAACACGGGAAAGTGCAGTCTTAAGCAAACTGTTTCTTATCCGATGTTCTGTTAAGTGGACACGACAGTATATTAGGCTTATACGCTATAACTTATTTGGAAAGAATGAGCATTATAAAAGATATTTATTTTTGTGTGCTATTTTTTATATTTTTCTACTTGTTTTCTCATTTTCTGCTTATTTTATACTTGTTTTACCTGAAAACCTGAAAAGATTCAAAAAATTAAAACTTGGCAGTAAATTTGTGAATAAATAAAAACCTATATAAAGACATTAAAACTGTCAATAGATACAGTTAAAACCCAAAGTATAAACTCCAATGTATAATTCACTCGTCTATTCAAAAAATATGGACGATAAAAGCAGGAAAAAATGTATTTATTTTTTTCCTAAAGATTTTTATATTAAAATATAATATAATATAAATGCTTAATTGATCATTAGGATAAAGTTAAAGAATATCTTTAGAAAACATAATAAATATATCCAATTCTATTAACTGATTTAAAATTTAATACTGAAGTACTAAGAAAAAAAAAATAGTTGAATCTCTTCACCTTCGTCAACTTTTTGATGAAAATGATAAAATTTAAACCAAAACCGAAACAGTTTTCTGTTTCGGTTTGAACTTCATTATACCTGTTTCATGTACAGTACGTGAATATATCACCTATAAACCTAGTTACTTCTTTATTAATAACGTCAGCATTTGTAATAAAGATATGGTCTAAGATACGTAGTTTATTATTATTATTTTTTCATTTTGCTGTCCGTGAAAAATATGTTTATAAAATTANTGGAAGCAGTGGATGCGCCACTTCCCTTGTATTTTCTAAAAAATAAATACATATTAATTTTAATTATATGAAAATAATTGCACAATATTTTATTATAACCGCATTATGTATCTTATTACAAATTTCTATACTACGTGTGAAAAAAACATAGTATCGCTATTGTATATTCGAATATTAGTGGCGGAGTGGAAGCGCTGTATTGTCAGCATTCAAAAAGCCAGATTCGCGCATGCGCTTTACAGAGCACCAACCTCACCCGGTTTAGCTGGTGGAAGCCGAGGTTCTTGGGTGGATGCTACACGTATACCGCATCGAATTCTATCCATGACTGGTTCTGGGCTGTTAGCCACCCGCCTGCTAGATATTTGGGCGCCCTCACCTGATTACGTGAATCGCGAGTAGATTTATAACTTAACCCAACCGATAAGAATTTACTGGTATGTTTTCATGATAGTTCTGTATAGTTGACAGGAGTTTTAAAAAAATCCATTAAAATATTTCATATTTTTATTCCGCTCTTCGATTTTATATTACTCATGGATTTCAATGTTAAACCAGTGATATTACGATTTCGTATATCCCATCTCTAAGGGGATGTAGAAAAAAACGTGTACAATTCTTGTATAATGTTAAAAAATTAACTGTTACTTTGACATCATCATTTATGACTAAATTTAATGAATGAGAGAGATGCACAAGATACAGAAAAAGCTCTAGAATTTATTTTCCTTACATTTACGATTTATATATCCGTTTGTCATACAAATTTGTCTTTCCACTTTTTTCCCGAGACTACAAATATTTGAGTACAAAGTAACTGGTTTCAACTTATTTCTACTTAAGAAGTAGTTAAATAATTAAGTGATTAGGGAATTGGGGACATAAACAAAACCCCGATGAAAGGCCAAAATTTTACTTAAACGAAAGCTTAACTGAACCATTTCTAGCCGAGTACAGTGGAGACTGATTTCTTTGTATTATTAATGTAATAAAGACAGAAATTTTTCCAGTTCAACAAGAGTGACTGAAAAGTTGTACATTCTGGAAATTTCTGAGGACACTTGGTCCTAAAACAGATTAGTTAGAAAACAAATGACTATTAAGTTTAACATACTTAAATTTTTACAGCTATGGTGAGAAATGTTTAAAATCTACAACAGCCCTGTCACGTCCTTTGAGATATACTAGTGATGCGACAAAAGAGGTATTTGACATTGGCCGGTATCAGCATCCTAGGGATTTGGCAGTCCGCATGTATGCACGCTCTGCAACTGTCTTTGATTCCATCCATTAGCCACTCGTAGGGAGCTAAAGTGGTAGTAGGGAGTAGGGACTAAGTGCATTGTTTTAAGATTTAAAAAGTAAAGAATATTTTATATTTTTATGTGTTTCTTTACAAAGCTGTATTTAATTATAATTTTCTTTAAAAGTATATTAATNCCGATACTGCATTAATTTATTTTCTCGCGAATGCGAACAATTCTAAGTATCAGGGTAATGAAAATTTGATTCAGAAATTAATTAATTAATTGATATATTCATTTATTATTAATTAATTTTTTAAATAATAAATAAAAGAAAACCTGAGCGTAGGATTATAAAAGTTAGGTAATAAATCGATTTAAGCTTAAGATGTCATATTAATACAGTACTAATCAATTGTTGAAACTCTGTAAGATTAGTACTGTATAAATCTAAGTTTTACATGTAAATGGAAACGGATGGATTAATGGAAAAAGATAAGACACTCGGGCAATCTGCCAGGATAGGTACAGGTTGACATTAAAATTTCCGCCATCGATAATCCGGTTCCTTCAGATTTCCGGAATGGATACCAGAGCGAATTTTCAAATTTATCGCGTGGCTTATTACTGTTTTCTGGAGGCGTCTAAAATTCTATAGAATTGTTTTATATAGTTGATGAACATTAAAATTTCATTTGCTTTTCATTTAGTGTTTAATTTTCTTTCTTTAAAGGATTATACGGGTAGTCATTTTCTGTTAAATATATTTAATACAACATATAGTCTATAACCATAAAAAATCCGGCATTCTTCAAGTCCGGCAAGTTCGAAGGTTGCCGGATTTTTTGAATTTCAACCCGTACCTCCAGGGAGGTGTTTCTATGGTAAACTGGCATCCTATTTAGGTGCTAGACAACCCGAAAAACTCCACTCGATCAATCCATTGGTGAGGTAAGAACCCGTGACCAATTATCAGTACCCAGTGTTTTCATTCATTCACTCTGGCGGGCAAAAGTGAATGAAAACCGTGCAACAAAATTGAAATACAAATACATACATATATTTTTGTAGAAATTTGTAAAACATTGACTATAAATTATTATCATGAAAGATGAATGAGATATAAAAAGTTATTCTTAAAACTATTTTTTCTATATAATTATTTTAAGAAAGGAGAACAACGATGGCGGCGCTAGGCGGTAAGCGGCGTAAGCACTAGAATCCCTGTAATGCCGGCTCGTCTACAAAATATTTTAAGGTTGGAATATTAAATATGATAAATTGTGATATATTTTTATTCAATGATATATAAATTAATTACAAACATTGTTTAACCATTATTGGAATCTCCAGAGAAAAAAAAATCAGAAAACATGGATATACTATATTAATTAAATTGTTAATTTGAATAACAAACTGTAATTAGCTGGTGACAAGAACTGGAGAAAATAATACTCTATTTATGATAATGCTTATAGTAACAAATATTTTAATTAAAAAATTTTGAATGGTAGTAATATATATATATTTGTATATGATACAAAGTATCATTATTCACCTAATTTTTAAAAATTAAGTGTATTGTTTGAATGAGCATTTTTATTGTAAAATACTACAGCATTTCTCAATCTTTACTAATTGGTAATCTTCTTTTAGCTGTTTGGAAGATTGCAACAATAACTTGAAATATAGTCCAATATATCCAGGAAGGTTGTGATTCTGTTATTAAAAAAATATTAAATTATTGAATGTAAGTATTGATTCTTACAGAATATGAATATAATTATCATATTTAGCTTTATCGGTAGATCTAGAGATAGAATAAAATTAACTTAAGTTTTTATGATATTACTTTACTGATTAAATTTATTTTCAATATCTGTATATTGATAATAAATTTATTATCGGTGTATAGATATTGATAATAAATTTAATTCTATTGTATTTTATTTCTTTTATTCTTTATTTCATTTTAACAAATTTAAATACATAATTTTGGCCATTTCTTGTTTTCTTCAATATGTTTTTATTCAATTTCAAAAAGAATATTAAAGCTCTAGCATTTTTGTTGTTCCACGTACCGTTAGAAAAAAAAAAATATCGAGTATTTTTCATTTCTAGTGTAATATTAGTTTATTTGACTTAATTTTTACAAGATTGTTGCTGACTAAAAAGGCTTTCTGCCTAAGGCCGCTCTTTGAAGTACCGGCTAGACTGGGGGTCACCAAACTACGGCCTGTGAGGTCGGTTCGTCCTGCCCATCGCCGCACTGTGCCACAAATAGGCTAAAATGTATTTATTTATATGGAAACATCCTAGATTGTAGATATACTTACTATGTAGAAACATTAAAATTACTGAATCAATTTTTGGCATTCTTACTTACAATCTGATTTTTGTATTTGATAGTAATATAATTTTTAGATAAATCAGTGAAATAAAAACTTTGGCAACTTTTTGCGACTTTGGATATCAGAGTGCATTTTGTATAAATACCAGTATCTTCAATGAAGTTTCAAAGAAAAGCGATTATGAACTTGCTGTAGCCATCATGTTTGTGTAAACACGATGGCTACAGCAAGTGTATTGGTAAACAAATATGTTGGTTGTCTTTATTTTTTTGTGTATTTGGTATGATGTATTGAACAAAATGGTTATACGGCCCACGCTCATCATTCTCTTGGTTATCTGACATGCTGTGAAAAAAGTTTGGTGACCCCTGGACCCTGGACAAATGAACTTCACACCCCTTGTTAATCTAGTGATGTCCCGTTCGGGGTCCTTTGCCCATATGTAATTATTATTCAATAAAATTATACGATAAAACAATAAAAGTAACTAATACAATATCCATAATATAAATAATGTCCAGGATATTCCAGATTAAAGTAAAAATATATAAAAAATTTGTTATACAGTAGAATTTGCTTATTGTAATCACAGATATCATTATCAGTCATTTATGCTACCAAAGAAAGCATGATTTAAAACAATAAGTCAAAATACATTTTATGAAACTGTTCTTTTTGTAGTCACAACTGCAATAAATAAATAAATTTTATCAAAAAGTTATAAACATCCTACAGACTTTATAAATGATTGTAGAAAGATAACTTTTTTTAAATCACTGAAGGTTTTTTTTTTCAGTTTGTCAACACAGTCTCTTCTTGACTTGCAATGGGTTTATGTTCTGAAAAACAAATTGTAATTCAAAAATAAAAATACTATAAATAAAAAAGACTATATGCAATCAGATAGCAGTTTAGAGAAGTAAATTTTAGAAAATAATAGAAAAGTGATATTTATTGCATATTTCATGTTTGAATTGATGTGTTTTTCAGATATGCTGCCACAAAATTGAAATAATACTTCAAAAATGGAAGTGAGTAAAACAATTATTAACATTGTCAAACAAATCAGATGGAAGCTTTAAGATTTACATTATTTACTGTTTGTTAGGACATGAAATGAATTTCATTATGCAAAAAATATTAGAAAAATTAAGAAAAATAGTAGAAAAGAATACACTAAAACTTTGAAAATTGTTAATGCTAAAGTGTTTGAAAACAAGAATTATCTTTGTTCAAAAGAGTATATAAATCTGTTAAAATATGAAGATAAACAAGCTAATTTTGAGAATTTTTGGAAACTGAAAGATTTTAAAAAACAGAATTTATTTTTATTTGGAAAGTTCATAAATGAATAATAGAACAAAGAAGACTCAGAATTTACTAAGTGAGAATCTGTCTGCTGGTTACAAATACAGTGAATGAGATTTCTAAAACCTTCCCATATAAAATGTTCTGTAAGATATCTTTAGATCTTTCTGAAATCTGTGTTTTAGATCTTTCACCCAAAAGAGGAAGGCCAAATATATTAAAATATTCAATAACTTCTATTATGTTACCATTAGACTACTAACAAAAGAACCATTTTTAAAATTAATTGTGTATCTAAAAAATTAAGAAAGAATAAAAAACCATTAATTAATCAAAATCATGGTTGTAAAATGTAAATTTGTTTTTGACTTTTTTCTAATAAATTTAATTATTTTTTATTGAAATAAGTCACTTTTTAAATACACAATTAATTTTGAAAATGGTCTCTGTCATTTGACATCTGGAAAACACATTTACTTGAATTCTACAAATAAAATTTTTACAATCGTAGAAAATATTTATATTATAAGACCACATACATCTATTGCATAATACATTATGTGGTCCACTCATGATGATTATTGATTTGGATTCCAAACATAAAATGTCAATGATTTTAAAACACACTTATACTTTGGATAAGTAAAAATAACTTAAGTATGTAATGTTAATTAATTATTGCATAAAAATATTTTTATAATTTAAGCAGTTCTTTGACTATTTCTGATTTCTATTAAATTAAACATGTATCCTTGAAATTAGCTGAATTTATTTACTTATTTAAAAAAACCTTGTAATTGTAAAAATGTATGTTGATTTTTAATGGATACTTGATTTATATTGGTAAGGACTCTGGTTCTAAGGGTGACTGTTAAATTCAGATTCTATTTACTGTACTTGGTATAGCATGGCCAAAATGACCCTGCTACAAATAAATTTAATCAATATTGTACTGTGTATATTTTAATATTTTATCGCATGCATAATAATTTAAGTAAAATACAATATTTTTTTAATTGTAATGTTTTACTACAGTCAAGCATTTTCAACATTAATTATGTATTCATGATTTATATTAATTTTTTTTTTCCAGTATGTAAATATTGATTTCAAAGTAATTAATCTTCAGTATGACTATTCTTACCGAGAACATAGTGTTATCTCGAACAAGAGCTCAAGATTTAAACAGTGTGCGGAAATTAAATTGTTGGTAAGTTTGCAGTTTTATAAATGTTACATTAGTGGTAGAATTGCTATAAATTTTCTTAGAATAATCTGTAGAGTAATAAATAAGTTATAAACTTTAACATGATAGAAACTGATGTTAAAGACATTTGAACTGTTGTATAAAAAATGATGTTGTGATGATGGTGGTATGAAATGTTCCCGTTTACACGGTCTAAAAGAACACAGTACACACTTCCTTTGTAACAATAACAATACAAAAAAACACTTTAATGTCTCCAAATCAGCGAGTGACTCTCTGGCACTCCACAATCAAGCAACACTCAGGCACCCGACAATTATTGGTAATTACAATACTGGTTCTTGACCAGCCACGCAGCTACCCACTCTGGTTAGCTCCCTGGTCAGTACTGCGGTCAGCACTCCTCTCAGCACTGCCTCCACACACAACTCTGACTCTACACACACCCAAAGGGAAGCACACAAATTTTCCCTCTCTCACCATTTTTCCCTCTCTAGGCGGGACAATCTCCCCCACATTCTTGGGGATACTGTTACCTCACCTACCTGACACGTGTGACCAAGCTGTGGACCACCACTTGCTGACATCCACACACCTGACACATGTCTGACACATGTTACAAATGAACTTAACATGAACTATAATGAAACTGCTGAATTATTTAACTTTTCTTTTAAATATAAACAACACATTAACATTTTGAAGTAATAAATTACTTTATTTTAAACAAAGCCCTAAAAGTTAATAAAACTTGGCAATGTAAATAAATTCTGGTATATTCAGGAACCCATCTTTTTGTTAAAAAGAAATGTCTCTAGTCAAAATTAAGTCTAAAATCTAGTCTAAGAGTTTAAGCTGACGATGGTCAGCTTAAACTCTTAGAATAACATAGAAAGTATAAATTAATAATCTTCATTTTTTTTTATAATAAAAAGTTAGCTCCTTGAAATTAGCTGAATTTATTTACTTATTTATTAAATGAAGTCCAAGATTGAATATTCAAAGTCAAATGCAATTGAATATGAAAATAATTTACCTCTTAATTTGTATCTATGAATCAGTGGCATGCCGTCATTGGAAGCAGTGGATGCGCCACTTCCCTTGTATTTTCTAAAAAATAAATACATATTAATTTTAATTATATGAAAATAATTGCACAATATTTTATTATAACCGCATTATGTATCTTATTACAAATTTCTATACTACGTGTGAAAAAAACATAGTATCGCTATTGTATATTCGAATATTAGTGGCGGAGTGGAAGCGCTGTATTGTCAGCATTCAAAAAGCCAGATTCGCGCATGCGCTTTACAGAGCACCAACCTCACCCGGTTTAGCTGGTGGAAGCCGAGGTTCTTGGGTGGATGCTACACGTATACCGCATCGAATTCTATCCATGACTGGTTCTGGGCTGTTAGCCACCCGCCTGCTAGATATTTGGGCGCCCTCACCTGATTACGTGAATCGCGAGTAGATTTATAACTTAACCCAACCGATAAGAATTTACTGGTATGTTTTCATGATAGTTCTGTATAGTTGACAGGAGTTTTAAAAAAATCCATTAAAATATTTCATATTTTTATTCCGCTCTTCGATTTTATATTACTCATGGATTTCAATGTTAAACCAGTGATATTACGATTTCGTATATCCCATCTCTAAGGGGATGTAGAAAAAAACGTGTACAATTCTTGTATAATGTTAAAAAATTAACTGTTACTTTGACATCATCATTTATGACTAAATTTAATGAATGAGAGAGATGCACAAGATACAGAAAAAGCTCTAGAATTTATTTTCCTTACATTTACGATTTATATATCCGTTTGTCATACAAATTTGTCTTTCCACTTTTTTCCCGAGACTACAAATATTTGAGTACAAAGTAACTGGTTTCAACTTATTTCTACTTAAGAAGTAGTTAAATAATTAAGTGATTAGGGAATTGGGGACATAAACAAAACCCCGATGAAAGGCCAAAATTTTACTTAAACGAAAGCTTAACTGAACCATTTCTAGCCGAGTACAGTGGAGACTGATTTCTTTGTATTATTAATGTAATAAAGACAGAAATTTTTCCAGTTCAACAAGAGTGACTGAAAAGTTGTACATTCTGGAAATTTCTGAGGACACTTGGTCCTAAAACAGATTAGTTAGAAAACAAATGACTATTAAGTTTAACATACTTAAATTTTTACAGCTATGGTGAGAAATGTTTAAAATCTACAACAGCCCTGTCACGTCCTTTGAGATATACTAGTGATGCGACAAAAGAGGTATTTGACATTGGCCGGTATCAGCATCCTAGGGATTTGGCAGTCCGCATGTATGCACGCTCTGCAACTGTCTTTGATTCCATCCATTAGCCACTCGTAGGGAGCTAAAGTGGTAGTAGGGAGTAGGGACTAAGTGCATTGTTTTAAGATTTAAAAAGTAAAGAATATTTTATATTTTTATGTGTTTCTTTACAAAGCTGTATTTAATTATAATTTTCTTTAAAACTATATTAATATAATTGAAGAATATTTTGTACCAGATATGTACCGGTACATCCACCACACATTTTATTTCACCAAGTAAGTTTTTATTATTTTATTTTTAATTGTAGCCCTTATATCGTGGTTAGTGATTCGTAATGTAATTGTGATATTAAAAATATATTTAGAGAAGTCTACAGTTTTTACTGGCTTATCGAATAAACAATACAAATGGACCCGAGACCATCACTGACGCGCAATTGACTGATTGCCTCTGGATATCGGCTTCTTACAGAAACACAGCTTCCCTATTATCAAATGTCACGGCATGCCACTGCTATGAATGATTGCAATACTTTCACTTTTTAATTATTTAAAATTCAAGTTCAAACAATTAGAATATTCTCCGTAGTATATATAAGACACATCCAGAAAATAAAGAATGTTTGTGCATAACATTCTATGCTGGTAAATTAGTGCCATTGATTCAAGATCAATTTGTTCTCTGGTGTATTAGCTTAGCATGTATAGAGTTTCATTAACAGCAGGCTTATTGTTACTGTTTTGTCAAGAATTAAAATGTGTACAAAAATTGAAAATTCTGCCAAGTGCAAAGTGTTACTTGGCTTTTAAACATGTAGAAAGTTTGTCCTAAAGAATTCATAAACAAATCATGGAAGTGTATGGTAATCACATTATGAATGAAGCAAGTGTGAGGAAACAATGTTTAATGTTTAATCAAGGAGGATAATGGTGTGACCACACTCCACTGCAGCCACTCAAGCTGTGCTTCAGAAATTTGCTTGGAATGTTTTCAACTACTTGCCATATAGACCTGACCCCCAATGGCTTTCACTTCTTTCCCAAGCTGAAAGAGTTTTTGGGGCGATTTGGAATATTTTGGAACAGATGATGAGGTAAAAGAAGCTGTTGCTAACTGGCTGAAAGAACTGGTGATAAAAGTCTGTGACAAAGGAATCTAAAAATTAGTGTTGTGCTATTACATAATTTGATTGCTTTAATTGTAATGATTACTATGTAGAAAAGTAGCTGGTCTTGTACTAATTACTTAACTTTTTCCTATCCTTACTGCTTTTTTTCTTTTTTACAGTCATATATTTTTCATTTTTTGGATGCCCCTTGTATATTCTATTTTAAAACTAAGTTTTAAAATAGAATATACAAGGGGCATAATATTTTAATAATAATTTTATTTTGCTGTTTGTGTATTTTATTTTAATACACAATTTTGTTTTGATCTGATGCAGTTATCATCAATCTTCATTCTGATTTTAATGTTTAATTGAAAACTTTCAAGTATGTTTACAATTTGTTCGCAAATCATAAAAAATTAATCTTATTTTTATTGTCATAAGAAATATGATTATAAGTATGAAGGAAAACATTTAGTTTTATTTGTAATTAACAAGAATAACAATTTTCATCACATATGTACAGTACATTATTTTACTATTAACTGTCATTATATGACAAGTTATACAGTAAAAGGATAGTAAATTACAAACTATATTCAGTAAATTTAAGAATTAGGCTTGCAGATGAAAATTATCTTGCTTTTGCCCAGTATATTGTGCTGATAGCAAATCTTTCTTTGATTCACTGTAATATTCTTAATAGACTAATACCTTTCTCACAGTGATATACTTTTCATCTTTTATGAAATGAGTAAATGTTAAAACATTTATTTTAAATGTAAAAAGTTTCTTAACATTCATCAAACTTTTTACTTGTATAAAACTTTTAATAGTTTTACTTAAAGTTCGTTTAAGACAAAAATTTATTAAAAACAAATATATATATATATGTATGTATGTATGTTTGTACTTTATGTATAAGCTGTTATTAAAAATAATTTCATTATTGATTATTTCTATATCAGGCAATCAAATTAATGAACTGATAATTAAAATTTTTAAATTATGTTAAATAATAATTCCATAATATTAAATTGGTTAAAAATTCATCAAATAGAAAATTATTGATGTATATTTTATAAATGTAAATTAAAACATTAATTTGTTGTAGAAATTAATGCAAAATGGACACACATATAGTTAATTAATTACAAATAAATTTTTACACTAACAAAATTGTTTGCCTTCTTTTATAAAGTGTAAAAACAGTTCAATTCATTAATTCAGAACTGGCTATTGTAGGTTATATACTAGCAACAAATATGTGATGTAGTTATAAACACTGAGATAGCGATGTCTATTGTAAGTTTTGTAAACTGGGTATCTAAATATTGCAGAAATTCTTTTGCAATATTCTTCAGGCGTTGCTCTAAATCTCTTAGATTGGTTCTTAGTGCTCTAAGTACAATTTAAACTGTCATTTTCTTCTATAATCTTTCAACCTTGATTTGCAGGTTCTTATATTTAGTGACTTTTTTATAATTGTTTTCCTCCATCTTTTGTCACCTGGGACTGCATATTTATAGTTTGTATCTTGTTTTTCCATTAGCATAATGTCTGGGGTGTTATGAACTAGATCAGCAGTTCTTAACCTTTTTAGTGGTCAGCACCCATTGAATCTGAAAATAAGCTCTTTCACCCTCTTAAAAAAATGTGTGCATATTTTTTATTTAAGAAAAAACATTTATTGCATAAACAAATGCCGTATTTATTTACAATATATATATCACTATATAACATAAAAAGCAATATTTAAATTTTAATGGCTAGGTTGTTGTTTATTCATAATAATTCTATTAAAACGAGGCTCTTCTTTTTGAAACAGCCATGCGTAAGTCATCAGATGCATTTAAGTGATTTCTGGCTTTTGTTTTGATGTGCAAAAGTGCTGTATTCAAGGTGTGCAAATACATCTCAACTAGTTTCTGTACTGCGCATGACAATGTGACTACATTAGCCAGGTCGAGGCCGAAGTTTTAAACACAGAAACGTGTACATCGGACGTTCAGCACCACTTTCCTGTAAGCCTAGAAGTTGACAATGGTGATTGGATTGTCAGTGGAATCATGCTCAACATTCCAAACACCATTGTCAAACTTCTACGCTTACAGGAAAGTGGCACTGAATGTCAGACGTACATGTTTTCACATTTAAAACTTTGGCCTCAACCTTGCTATTAACTGCATGTACTAACAACTGATGAAAAGCGCTATGTGCTGAGAGACGTAGAGTAGAGAGTGTAGAAGTGAGACGGTAGAGAATGAAGTGAGGATGTTGTGTTGCTGGGTACCACAGATTGTAGAGAACACGGGCTCCTCGTTTATATTTTTTAATTAATTTTTTTTTTGAAATTTCTCTCGCACCCCCTGAGGTGCATGCACCCCAGGTTAAGAACTGCTGAACTAGATGTTTATATGTCTGTCTGAGAATCCCAAAGTATTTTTTCCTCCTTGTTTTCAACAATTTTTTCTCTTATAATCATACTAAGTCTTCCTGCAATGAAAACCGTACTTTCTGTAAAGATTCCAGTGAATGATTGTCACTACTTTATTATGTCATTCAGGGTAGTCAGTTTGTGCAATTTTCTTGAGAACTTATGATGTGTTGAACAGTTTGTTCACATCTTTTTGCAGAAGTGGCATTTGGAATTATGATATGACTTTTCAGCCTGTGTTTTGATTGCATCTTTTTTTATGCTTCTTGTGCAACAAGAGTTAAACCTTCTGTTTCTTTCTTTAAAGTTCCTTTTCTTGACCACTATATATTCTTCTACTGTCAACTTTTCCTTCAGTATTCTTAAGATAATGGCCATGGAGAGTTTTATTCTTCCAGTTGTCCCTTTGTGTTGTCAATTGCTCTTTTTGGTATGCTTTCTTTGTTACTTTGATTTTCAGTAATTCAGCATTCTTAGCTTCTTTCAACATTTCCTCTTCACTTGCTTTTATGTATCTCAATAGACTTCTCTTTTCTCCTTCAACAGTTTGTTTGATCTGTAGTGATCCTTGTCCTCTTTCATAGTACAGAAGATAAAGTTTGTTAATGGATGTAGGGCATGGTTAATTGTCATTATTTTTCATGTTTTTCAGTCTAAAGCATCCAGTTCTGTCTGAATCCAGTCAATTATGCCAGCAATGTAACAAATAGCAGATACTACCCAGGTATTTATAGCTTTGATTGTATTTCCGTCATTCTGCTTTGATTTTGAAACTTTCTGTACCTACATAATATACGTGGTATTCTCTGCTGATCTTGCTTTTGACTTCATTGTGTTTGATGTTTTCTGTTTGTAAGATACCCGAGTATCTTTAGCTTTTTTTTAGGTAGTACACTATTTCACTTCCATCTGACATTTTTAAACTAGTTACAATCTTTCTTTTCTTTATTACTAAGGTTGCATATTTATCTAGTCTAAAATTAAAAACACTGTAAGTTCTTCAAATTCCATTTTCAAACATTGAAGCCTGTGGCATCCCATTTCTGAAAATTTTAATCTGAAGCAAGTCAGAAGTATACTGAAAGCTTTTGTTTTTCTGGATTTTCATATGTCTGTCAGGAGAATCTCAAGGTTAGTGTGTTTTAATTTTATATTATTGCCCAGTTTTGTTGAAGATCAAATTTTTTGTATTTATCTAGTCCAAAGTCCATTGCAATATTGTTACTAAAAATTCTGACAGTGTTCATCAGAGACTTGATTTCATCTGATGATTTTCCAAAAAGTTTCAGGTCATTCATGTACAAAAGATGAGATAGCCTTATGGATGTTTGTAAAGTCTGGTTGCCTTGCCCAATTATTATCATTATTATTACTATTAATTACATATTATTATCTTTAAATTTTAGTAAAGTAAGTCCCATGATTTTCAAATTTGACTTATGTTTAATAAATAAAATTATTAATTCCAGTTTGTTTTTAGTTTATCCTATGTGTAATTTATTTTTATTTTGTATCAATTTAGAAAGAGGTCAGCAAATTAAATTAAATTTTGAAAAAGAGTTGATATGCAAAAGAGGTTATATATTATATAAGTTTAGACCTCTAATCTAAACATACAGTATATAAAGAAATTACCAAAATCACAGAAGGAACACTTGAGTGATGTTCTTTAAATTAATAGTCCAAATTAATATCACTTAAATTAATTAAAAACCTACTAATGTGAGGTGGGAATAAAGACTTATTACACCAGTGATAATAAGCACAAACACCCAGGTATCAATGGAATAAATTTAATAAAACGAGAAGGGGTGTACATAAAAATCAATTAAATTAACAATTAACATAAAATAATCAAAATAACCAAAATGCATTTCGGACTATCGGAATAGTCCCTCTTCAGTTGGTATACATATATAAAAAAGGTGAGATACTTAAACTTATACAAGACAAAGGAACCATTATAAAGATATGATCATTGAGCAACAAATGGGTGTAGAGGAGACAGGCTTAAGGTGGCTTCATTATGTTACATGGTAGCTTGACATAAGGGTTACTATTATAAACAGTATTAAAATTAGCGGAATAATAAGGTAATTGTTTTATAAAATAAGTTATATCTACATACCATAACAGTAGTAAGATGGAGTTTGAAGGTAGCACTGCTACAAGATGCAAAGAAGTTATGAGGGAGGTGTGTTACAGGCAACATCTGGAAAACAAGTAGTGACTAACATCTTAATGGCTAACCTTCATTATGGCCAACAATGGCAACCAAATGGCAACAATCACAATGGCCAACCCTTATGTCAAGCTACCATGTAACATAATGAAGCCACCTTAAGCCTGTCTCCTCTACACCCATTTATTGCNCATTTGTCAATAGAAAAATAGATATTTAAAACTATTCAGAAATAGTATTTCATTTGCATTTTAAGACACATTTAATAATTTTATTCTTTGTATTTCCATAACATACATGTCATATTTTTTATGTATTAGTTCTACATATATTTAGTAATACTAATACATATGAAAAGTTATACAATGAAACTACCAAGTGGAAAAAATATCCAATTGATAGTAGTCATTTTATTAAGAAATTTTCACTAAAATTTGACAATAAACTGTAGTACTTCAGTTCCATATTTGAGTCTTTTATTTTAATATTCTCACCCAGTGGTTTTGTTGTAAGACCTCTTGCATTCTTATTTCTCCATGTCCGAATAGGTCTGACCATGTCATTGTTCAGAATGCACTCCAATTGGTAGAAAAGTAAAGATGTCCAATTGCAAGGGTATAAGAATGAGGAAAATTGTGCTGGCCATCTTTTCCCTTTTTGGGCTGCTTCTCTTTGGAGTAAACCTTTGAGCAAAGGGGCATAGGAAATTGTTTGAAAAGAAAGAAACTCTTTAGCCTGAGTATCACACACAACTAGGATATATGCATATAGATATACATATATTGAAAGGATCATGCTCTCTTTGAAACAGTGCAGCAGAGACGGATCCCTAACAGAAGAAAAAGGAGAAGGAGAAAGTGACTGAAATCAAGATACTGTACATTCAGTGAGTTCTTCATGCATTAAATATTCCTCATACCAAAATGCTCAGAGGCGAGAACTTCTCGATATCTGATAACCCATGAGATATGGGCAATGAGTCTAAAGAGTGTTATTGTCAAATTTAGGTCCCCTTCACTAGGTAGGATAAGTTTTAAATGATTTATATATTAGAAAAGTGTAAGTATCTGTTAAATTTTTTTAGTATTCTTTGAGATATTTTGTTGTTATTATGATAATGACAAAAACTGGGAAATTGAGAATATCAAGATATTATTGATAATGATTCTTCTAGTGATAAATGATTACTTTTTATTAACGAGATTCTGTCATCCGTAATTTACTTAAATATACTTTTAATATACTTAAAGTGCTTGACTTCCAAAATTAAGTCTAGTATTATTTAAGGAACTATCAAATAGAAAAATAATTTTAATATAATAAATAATCTATCAGAATGTTAAAGATAATAATGAAGAACATAATAACAATCCACAAAACCTTTTTTTACAAGTGTTATGTCCATAACAAACGCCACAAACGCTTTCGACCTCCACCGAGGTCTGCTTCAGGTGGTGACTGACTGCATTTCCTCCTGACCATTGTAATGATGACGCATGAGATGTAAATAGTTGTTCGTGTCGGGTTTCACCCCTCCGCCTGTCCCAGTTTGAATTCCTCAAACAAATACCTCCATGCCTGGGCAATTGTTTCACCATCCTTGAAGTTGATGCAGGTGCCCCCACTGTTAGCTTTATATATCGCCCAGGCCTCCAGGTGATGGATGTGATCTGTTTGAAACGCTTGCCTGATTAGTCTGGTATTACGGAAGTCTGCCAATATTTCAGGGTCGGTAACGTAGGACGACAAGGCAGTGATGTGCCTGTTATTTTTAATATCTGCTTGATGTTCACGTAACCGTTTTTGTGTTGAGCAGATGGTGGAGCCAATGTAAACCAAGTCCCTATGGAATCTATCGTCCCTGATGGGGATGGAGTATACCCCTGGTGCCCTGATGAGATCTATCGCGTCCTTGATGTTGCGCAGCATGTCGTAAATAGTGTCAGTTCTCATGTATGCGATCTTCGTGTGGTTATGGTAAGCAATCTCCCTGTATAGGGGGTCTAAATGAGAGTTGAACCGGACAACCGCACGCCTAACGTTCTTATTGGGATGGAGGTTGTCGTCTGGCAAAGGCAGCAGGCTGTCACTGCGGCGTGGGAGACAGTGGGTGTAAGCACAGGCTAAACTGTGAACCATGCCTTTGCTATAGCCATGCTCAAGGGCGATTTTTTCTATGCGTCAGAGCTCTAGCCGGGTGTCGCAGTCAATTGTGTGGTGAGTGAAGGCCCGTCTGGTGAGGGCATGGAAGGCCGCAATTTTGTAAACAAAGGGGTCGGAGGAGTTTGCAAGGATGAAAAGTGGGAGCTGATCTGGTTTACGGTAAATGCTCATTTCTAGCTTACCACCCTGAGGCATATCTTAACATCTAGAAAATGTGCACTCAAGTTGCTAACCTGATCCAAGCTGAGGGTGAGGTATGCATTGTCATTCATGGCCAACAAAAAATCGTCAAGCTTTTGTCAAGCTGTGGAGTTTGTTACAGACATAACACTTGTATAAAAAGGTTTCGTAGATTGTTATTTATCAATGCAGTGTTAAGTTGTTGGAAGTCATTTTTTGTGTTAAGAACATAATATTGATCATGAGTGGATTAAATTGAGAATAATAATAATACAGTCGACCCCCGTATAAGATCATTGATTATTCCGTTTTATATGAATTCCATGTTGTACGAGTCACTTAAATTTTACAAATACGTGAGCCGTTCACAGCCCGGTACACATATTTGTAAAATTAAAGTGACTCGTACAACATGGAATTCATATAAAACGGAATAATCAATGATCTTATATGGGGGTCGACTGTATTATTATTATTCTCAATTTAATCCACTCATGATCAATATTATGTTCTTAACACAAAAAATGACTTCCAACAACTTAACACTGCATTGATAAATAACAATCTACGAAACCTTTTTATACAAGTGTTATGTCTGTAACAAACTCCACAGCTTGACAAAAGCTTGACGATTTTTTGTTGGCCATGAATGACAATGCATACCTCACCCTCAGCTTGGATCAGGTTAGCAACTTGAGTGCACATTTTCTAGATGTTAAGATATGCCTCAGGGTGGTAAGCTAGAAATGAGCATTTACCGTAAACCAGATCAGCTCCCACTTTTCATCCTTGCAAACTCCTCCGACCCCTTTGTTTACAAAATTGCGGCCTTCCATGCCCTCACCAGACGGGCCTTCACTCACCACACAATTGACTGCGACACCCGGCTAGAGCTCTGACGCATAGAAAAAATCGCCCTTGAGCATGGCTATAGCAAAGGCATGGTTCACAGTTTAGCCTGTGCTTACACCCACTGTCTCCCACGCCGCAGTGACAGCCTGCTGCCTTTGCCAGACGACAACCTCCATCCCAATAAGAACGTTAGGCGTGCGGTTGTCCGGTTCAACTCTCATTTAGACCCCCTATACAGGGAGATTGCTTACCATAACCACACGAAGATCGCATACATGAGAACTGACACTATTTACGACATGCTGCGCAACATCAAGGACGCGATAGATCTCATCAGGGCACCAGGGGTATACTCCATCCCCATCAGGGACGATAGATTCCATAGGGACTTGGTTTACATTGGCTCCACCATCTGCTCAACACAAAAACGGTTACGTGAACATCAAGCAGATATTAAAAATAACAGGCACATCACTGCCTTGTCGTCCTACGTTACCGACCCTGAAATATTGGCAGACTTCCGTAATACCAGACTAATCAGGCAAGCGTTTCAAACAGATCACATCCATCACCTGGAGGCCTGGGCGATATATAAAGCTAACAGTGGGGGCACCTGCATCAACTTCAAGGATGGTGAAACAATTGCCCAGGCATGGAGGTATTTGTTTGAGGAATTCAAACTGGGACAGGCGGAGGGGTGAAACCCGACACGAACAACTATTTACATCTCATGCGTCATCATTACAATGGTCAGGAGGAAATGCAGTCAGTCACCACCTGAAGCAGACCTCGGTGGAGGTCGAAAGCGTTTGTGGCGTTTGTTATGGACATAACACTTGTAAAAAAAGGTTTTGTGGATTGTTATTATGTTCTTCATTATTATCTTTAACATTCTGATAGATTATTTATTATATTAAAATTATTTTTCTATTTGATAGTTCCTTAAATAATACTAGACTTAATTTTGGAAGTCAAGCACTTTAAGTATATTAAAAGTATATTTAAGTAAATTACGGATGACAGAATCTCGTTAATAAAAAGTAATCATTTATCACTAGAAGAATCATTATCAATAATATCTTGATATTCTCAATTTCCCAGTTTTTGTCATTATCATAATAACAACAAAATATCTCAAAGAATACTAAAAAAATTTAACAGATACTTACACTTTTCTAATATATAAATCATTTAAAACTTATCCTACCTAGTGAAGGGGACCTAAATTTGACAATAACACTCTTTAGACTCATTGCCCATATCTCATGGGTTATCAGATATCGAGAAGTTCTCGCCTCTGAGCATTTTGGTATGAGGAATATTTAATGCATGAAGAACTCACTGAATGTACAGTATCTTGATTTCAGTCACTTTCTCCTTCTCCTTTTTCTTCTGTTAGGGATCCGTCTCTGCTGCACTGTTTCAAAGAGAGCATGATCCTTTCAATATATGTATATCTATATGCATATATCCTAGTTGTGTGTGATACTCAGGCTAAAGAGTTTCTTTCTTTTCAAACAATTTCCTATGCCCCTTTGCTCAAAGGTTTACTCCAAAGAGAAGCAGCCCAAAAAGGGAAAAGATGGCCAGCACAATTTTCCTCATTCTTATACCCTTGCAATTGGACATCTTTACTTTTCTACCAATTGGAGTGCATTCTGAACAATGACATGGTCAGACCTATTCGGACATGGAGAAATAAGAATGCAAGAGGTCTTACAACAAAACCACTGGGTGAGAATATTAAAATAAAAGACTCAAATATGGAACTGAAGTACTACAGTTTATTGTCAAATTTTAGTGAAAATTTCTTAATAAAATGACTACTATCAATTGGATATTTTTTCCACTTGGTAGTTTCATTGTATAACTTTTCATATGTATTAGTATTACTAAATATATGTAGAACTAATACATAAAAAATATGACATGTATGTTATGGAAATACAAAGAATAAAATTATTAAATGTGTCTTAAAATGCAAATGAAATACTATTTCTGAATAGTTTTAAATATCTATTTTTCTATTGACAAATGCAGATGAAATCAGATTTGAAAAAAAATGCTATCTGTTCTTAGTGTTTAATACAGTGATGAAAAAGTATTCTCTCTCATGAATATTAACTGTAGAATAAGAAACAATGTTAATTAAAAAATTATAAAATTTATAAAATTATATATATTTTTAAGATGATTGTCTTGTTCTATTTGCAGTGTCAATAACATTATAACGTTAATAGATTTTGCATATTGCCGGAATCTGCAGGAATTATATTTACGGAAAAATAAAATTGAAGATCTAAATGAAGTGTGTTATCTTCAAGTATTACCTAGACTTCACAGCTTGTGGCTTGCTGAAAATCCGTGTGCAGAAACAGAATCTTATCGTTTGACAGTTCTTCGAGCTCTACCACATCTGCAAAAATTAGATAATATTAGTAAGTTAAAACACAAATTAAAATATAAACTTATTATTGGAAAATTTTAATTCATTATAAAAAATGAAAAAATTTTAATTTATTTTTAAATTTTTAATAATGATTACAAAGGTAATAAATACCATAGGCAAGAAATACTTTTCCGCAATAAACAATAAAACAACCTCCCTTTTAAAAACAAAATAGCAATGAATTGAACCTTAAAAGAAATTCCAGGATTGCAAATTCTAACATTTTTGATCTTCCTCAGGATTCTTTAATTTGGAATGTGGAAATTTAATCTATTTAAATTATTTTAAAATCTTTTTAAGGGAATTAGTTAAAAATTCTCGGTTTTATGTTTTTTAAATAATTCTTAAAAACATTCCATTTCTGCATTCCAATTTAAAGAATCCTGAGGAAGATTGTCTTTGAAGATCAAAAATGTTAGAATTTGCAATAGATTATCCTGGAATTTCTTTTAAGGTTCAATTTGTTGCTATTTTGGAAGATGTATCCAGGTTTGCAGAGTTTGAACCTTTTAAAAACACAAATAAAAATCATTTAAAATAGAATGTATAAAAAATGGGTAATAATACAATGGAAGAAATTTATGAAAAATAAAATAAGATTAAAAGAAATTTTATTAAGATACAGTGGATGATCGGTTAACGAACATAATCCATTCCAAGACTGTGTTCGCTGTCAGAATTGTTTGTTAACCGATTATTAATTTACCATAAATTTTTATGGGAATATGATTAATCTGTTCTGCATACCCCCAAAAATAAAAAATTATATACTTTCTTACTACATTATATGTAATNTGTATAGATATTGATAATAAATTTAATTCTATTGTATTTTATTTCTTTTATTCTTTATTTCATTTTAACAAATTTAAATACATAATTTTGGCCATTTCTTGTTTTCTTCAATATGTTTTTATTCAATTTCAAAAAGAATATTAAAGCTCTAGCATTTTTGTTGTTCCACGTACCGTTAGAAAAAAAAAAAATATCGAGTATTTTTCATTTCTAGTGTAATATTAGTTTATTTGACTTAATTTTTACAAGATTGTTGCTGACTAAAAAGGCTTTCTGCCTAAGGCCGCTCTTTGAAGTACCGGCTAGACTGGGGGTCACCAAACTACGGCCTGTGAGGTCGGTTCGTCCTGCCCATCGCCGCACTGTGCCACAAATAGGCTAAAATGTATTTATTTATATGGAAACATCCTAGATTGTAGATATACTTACTATGTAGAAACATTAAAATTACTGAATCAATTTTTGGCATTCTTACTTACAATCTGATTTTTGTATTTGATAGTAATATAATTTTTAGATAAATCAGTGAAATAAAAACTTTGGCAACTTTTTGCGACTTTGGATATCAGAGTGCATTTTGTATAAATACCAGTATCTTCAATGAAGTTTCAAAGAAAAGCGATTATGAACTTGCTGTAGCCATCATGTTTGTGTAAACACGATGGCTACAGCAAGTGTATTGGTAAACAAATATGTTGGTTGTCTTTATTTTTTTGTGTATTTGGTATGATGTATTGAACAAAATGGTTATACGGCCCACGCTCATCATTCTCTCGGTTATCTGACATGCTGTGAAAAAAGTTTGGTGACCCCTGGACCCTGGACAAATGAACTTCACACCCCTTGTTAATCTAGTGATGTCCCGTTCGGGGTCCTTTGCCCATATGTAATTATTATTCAATAAAATTATACGATAAAACAATAAAAGTAACTAATACAATATCCATAATATAAATAATGTCCAGGATATTCCAGATTAAAGTAAAAATATATAAAAAATTTGTTATACAGTAGAATTTGCTTATTGTAATCACAGATATCATTATCAGTCATTTATGCTACCAAAGAAAGCATGATTTAAAACAATAAGTCAAAATACATTTTATGAAACTGTTCTTTTTGTAGTCACAACTGCAATAAATAAATAAATTTTATCAAAAAGTTATAAACATCCTACAGACTTTATAAATGATTGTAGAAAGATAACTTTTTTTAAATCACTGAAGGTTTTTTTTTTTTCAGTTTGTCAACACAGTCTCTTCTTGACTTGCAATGGGTTTATGTTCTGAAAAACAAATTGTAATTCAAAAATAAAAATACTATAAATAAAAAAGACTATATGCAATCAGATAGCAGTTTAGAGAAGTAAATTTTAGAAAATAATAGAAAAGTGATATTTATTGCATATTTCATGTTTGAATTGATGTGTTTTTCAGATATGCTGCCACAAAATTGAAATAATACTTCAAAAATGGAAGTGAGTAAAACAATTATTAACATTGTCAAACAAATCAGATGGAAGCTTTAAGATTTACATTATTTACTGTTTGTTAGGACATGAAATGAATTTCATTATGCAAAAAATATTAGAAAAATTAAGAAAAATAGTAGAAAAGAATACACTAAAACTTTGAAAATTGTTAATGCTAAAGTGTTTGAAAACAAGAATTATCTTTGTTCAAAAGAGTATATAAATCTGTTAAAATATGAAGATAAACAAGCTAATTTTGAGAATTTTTGGAAACTGAAAGATTTTAAAAAACAGAATTTATTTTTATTTGGAAAGTTCATAAATGAATAATAGAACAAAGAAGACTCAGAATTTACTAAGTGAGAATCTGTCTGCTGGTTACAAATACAGTGAATGAGATTTCTAAAACCTTCCCATATAAAATGTTCTGTAAGATATCTTTAGATCTTTCTGAAATCTGTGTTTTAGATCTTTCACCCAAAAGAGGAAGGCCAAATATATTAAAATATTCAATAACTTCTATTATGTTACCATTAGACTACTAACAAAAGAACCATTTTTAAAATTAATTGTGTATCTAAAAAATTAAGAAAGAATAAAAAACCATTAATTAATCAAAATCATGGTTGTAAAATGTAAATTTGTTTTTGACTTTTTTCTAATAAATTTAATTATTTTTTATTGAAATAAGTCACTTTTTAAATACACAATTAATTTTGAAAATGGTCTCTGTCATTTGACATCTGGAAAACACATTTACTTGAATTCTACAAATAAAATTTTTACAATCGTAGAAAATATTTATATTATAAGACCACATACATCTATTGCATAATACATTATGTGGTCCACTCATGATGATTATTGATTTGGATTCCAAACATAAAATGTCAATGATTTTAAAACACACTTATACTTTGGATAAGTAAAAATAACTTAAGTATGTAATGTTAATTAATTATTGCATAAAAATATTTTTATAATTTAAGCAGTTCTTTGACTATTTCTGATTTCTATTAAATTAAACATGTATCCTTGAAATTAGCTGAATTTATTTACTTATTTAAAAAAACCTTGTAATTGTAAAAATGTATGTTGATTTTTAATGGATACTTGATTTATATTGGTAAGGACTCTGGTTCTAAGGGTGACTGTTAAATTCAGATTCTATTTACTGTACTTGGTATAGCATGGCCAAAATGACCCTGCTACAAATAAATTTAATCAATATTGTACTGTGTATATTTTAATATTTTATCGCATGCATAATAATTTAAGTAAAATACAATATTTTTTTAATTGTAATGTTTTACTACAGTCAAGCATTTTCAACATTAATTATGTATTCATGATTTATATTAATTTTTTTTTTCCAGTATGTAAATATTGATTTCAAAGTAATTAATCTTCAGTATGACTATTCTTACCGAGAACATAGTGTTATCTCGAACAAGAGCTCAAGATTTAAACAGTGTGCGGAAATTAAATTGTTGGTAAGTTTGCAGTTTTATAAATGTTACATTAGTGGTAGAATTGCTATAAATTTTCTTAGAATAATCTGTAGAGTAATAAATAAGTTATAAACTTTAACATGATAGAAACTGATGTTAAAGACATTTGAACTGTTGTATAAAAAATGATGTTGTGATGATGGTGGTATGAAATGTTCCCGTTTACACGGTCTAAAAGAACACAGTACACACTTCCTTTGTAACAATAACAATACAAAAAAACACTTTAATGTCTCCAAATCAGCGAGTGACTCTCTGGCACTCCACAATCAAGCAACACTCAGGCACCCGACAATTATTGGTAATTACAATACTGGTTCTTGACCAGCCACGCAGCTACCCACTCTGGTTAGCTCCCTGGTCAGTACTGCGGTCAGCACTCCTCTCAGCACTGCCTCCACACACAACTCTGACTCTACACACACCCAAAGGGAAGCACACAAATTTTCCCTCTCTCACCATTTTTCCCTCTCTAGGCGGGACAATCTCCCCCACATTCTTGGGGATACTGTTACCTCACCTACCTGACACGTGTGACCAAGCTGTGGACCACCACTTGCTGACATCCACACACCTGACACATGTCTGACACATGTTACAAATGAACTTAACATGAACTATAATGAAACTGCTGAATTATTTAACTTTTCTTTTAAATATAAACAACACATTAACATTTTGAAGTAATAAATTACTTTATTTTAAACAAAGCCCTAAAAGTTAATAAAACTTGGCAATGTAAATAAATTCTGGTATATTCAGGAACCCATCTTTTTGTTAAAAAGAAATGTCTCTAGTCAAAATTAAGTCTAAAATCTAGTCTAAGAGTTTAAGCTGACGATGGTCAGCTTAAACTCTTAGAATAACATAGAAAGTATAAATTAATAATCTTCATTTTTTTTTATAATAAAAAGTTAGCTCCTTGAAATTAGCTGAATTTATTTACTTATTTATTAAATGAAGTCCAAGATTGAATATTCAAAGTCAAATGCAATTGAATATGAAAATAATTTACCTCTTAATTTGTATCTATGAATCAGTGGCATGCCGTCATTGGAAGCAGTGGATGCGCCACTTCCCTTGTATTTTCTAAAAAATAAATACATATTAATTTTAATTATATGAAAATAATTGCACAATATTTTATTATAACCGCATTATGTATCTTATTACAAATTTCTATACTACGTGTGAAAAAAACATAGTATCGCT